TATAATTTTTTATATTTATATAAGCAAATAAATAAAAGAAAAAAAAATATATGTCACAGTTGACATGAGAATTTATTTGAGATTGAAATAATAGATTTAATTACGTAGAGAGAAAAAAATAGAAGAAGGAAAGAAAAGAAACGAAAAAAATTCAAATGAAATAAAAGAAAACATAAAAATGTAAATAAAATTCTTTTTTTTTTAGAATACGAAACTTTTTTTTTGTAATAACAAATCTCAAGCTTTCTGTAAATGATCATTATTTTTTTTTAAATTTTGATAATAAAAAAAACAAAAAAGAATAAATACAAATTATATTTCTTTAACAATATGAAATTTTTTCAATAGTAACAAATCGCAAATCTTTTTGTAAATGATCTTTTTTTTTAAAAAATTTGGTAATCAGAAAAAAAATATTATTTTTCTTTTGATTTATCTTAATGCATATTTATATCTTTTATATTACTTATACAATATAATTAATGTTTACTGTACAACTCATATTTTTATGTTAGTGAAGATAAAGTAATTTATCATAAACTACAAACATATATAGATTCATTGAATGCGAAAAAAAGAAATCAATATACAATTAAAAATGAAATGTACTTAAATATTTTAAGTGTTTTTAAAGAAGAAAATCAAACTGTATCACTTAAGTTTAAAGTTTGGATAAAGCAAACATTTAAATTGGCCCAAATAGGTTCAAATTCTTTGATTTATGTTATAAAAAATACTTTACCACTTGTTAAACATGAAGAAATATATTATAGAGTTGCTGATTGTCATATAGCTGTTGGCCATTCAGGATGAGATAAAAACTTAGGCCGAGGTTAATTTTTTTCTTTAATTATTAATTTATAATATAATTCATATAGATCAAGCGTCATTATGCTGGTATCCCACAACAAGCAGTATTGATTAATATCAATATATCCTCCTGGACAAAAATAGTTTTACACAGTATTTCCCACAAATCATTACTATAAATTAACATTTTGGGAAAAGTAAGGATGTATTCGGATAGCCCGAAGAATTCTCTACAAATCTATATATAAACATTTCGGATTGCACTTATCAGTAAAAAATAAATTCACGTACAATAAAGGCACCCTCATGTTCAGATTTCCCGGAAATGCATTTTATGTTCCTTTAAATATACAACAAGTTATTACAAAAGTAAGTATATATTCTGAAAGCGCGTGAAATTCTGTATCACCCTATACTGTACCCGTCTTGACTTGCAATTGTCTAATGACAAATATTTGGAGTATTATTAATGTACCCTCACCCTCGATACTCCGCATGAACGATTATCTGCTAACCAAGTAAGAGGTATGGATAATTAACAACCTATCAAATTGGATCTTAATGCTGTTGAGAGTGTCTGGTCTTGAATAAACCACTTTGCACAGAGATGACGACTGAATTCCTGACAACATCTAACCTAGGTACGTGATGCGTGAGTACATTAACAATAGTTGAAATATTTATCATCAAATATTTGCAAGTTAAGATTGGTAAAAGTACAGGGTGATACAGAATTTCACGCGCTTTCAGAATATATACTTACTTTTGTAACAACTTGTTCCTATATTCAAAATATATTTGAAAAAATGAACGAACAAGGAACAAAAAATGCATTTCCAGGGAATCTGGAGATGAGGGTGCCTTCACTGTGCTTGAACTCATTTTTAGCGAATAAATGCAATTCAAAATGTTTATATATAGAATTGTAGAGAACTCCACGGGCTATCCGAATATATCCTTACTTTTCCCAAAATGTTAATTTATAGTAATGATTTGTGGGAAATACTGTGTAAAACTATTTTTGTCCAGGAGGATATATGACATTTGTCAAACACGACGTTCATTTTCCACAACAACTAGTGGGAAACCAATTATTTCAATAGGGTTTTTGACACGATTACAAGTCGATTTAATCGACATGCGCAATGCATCATATGATGGTTATAATTTTTTAATGCATGCTAAAGATAACTTCAGCAAATTTAGTTGGCTGTATACTTTACCATCAAAAGAAGCGACTCATATTGTTGAAAATTTAGGTGATCTTTTTTATACATTTGGACCATCTAAAATTTTGCAAACAGATAATGGAAAAGAATTTACGTAATATTTCATTTAAGATAATAATCATGCATTATTTGAAACTTGATCTAAAATGAATGTTGATGTATAAGAATAGAAATCTTGCACATACATATGGAAGCTTTTGGTATTACAGACATACTTAGGAACCAAGCATCGTGGATACGAGAGATATATGAAAAATGTTTTATCACAGATGTAAAATACATTTTTAGAAATGACTTATCATAGACGTTACAGTCATTTCTAAAGGGTGGTCCCAAAGTTTCGACTCTTCCTTCGTAAATCAAGAATATCTATATGAAACTCATATGAAAGTATTGATCAA